GCGGAGGTATTCACCTACAATGGAGAAATTTTTAATCGGCGGTGTTCCAAGAGATATGACAAATACTGGATATCCGAAAAACTCGCATAATATCCAATAAGTTGGTATTGTGGAATGATTTAACCGGACCTTAGAAGAGCATAGAAATGTCGTGGACAAGTATCAGAAAAATCGGGATGTCCACATACCTTTGCTACTGATGGGATGATGGGATGACGTGGTGTATAGAATTTGTTGAGCGATCCAGAAAAAACATGAAGATGGTATATTTGGAGAGGCTTGCAGTGTTTGGAACAGTAAGACTAAGGTGCAGGATAGTTCAAAGTGAACCACAAACAAACGATAGAACGTTCGATGAATGTACAGGAAATTGCACAAAAAGTGCTGGCTAGAACCACAACACAGCGAGTGAATTAGCAAGCTACGAGTAAAGTTACCAAGTCTACAGTTGAAATGTTGTAAATTGTCTGGTGACTTAATCGTCATATTTAACAATTCAGTGATACGAGCCCGAAATATTTGAGAAATCCACGAGTAATTCAAGCATAATCGTAACAATATGGTACAAAAAGTTCGCAAAAGGACTGGGGTTACCAGACTAGAAATGGTAAAATTAGTAGATAAAAAAAAAAATAAAACCAAAAAAGCATATTCATACAAATTTTATCCTACTTGACGGTTTCTGGCCAGTGGTTGATTAGTATTAATAGAAAAAGTTAATTGAGAAAATTATCAAGGTTGCGCTGGCGAGGGAGGTCCCACCGGCTAACCTTGTGGTATTGTACGAGGCTTTTAATTATCGAAACGCAACAAATTTTGGTTACTCATAGAATACCTAACCGATCATGAGCGTCTGCGATCTCAAATGCACCGGATTGGGCTGACCACGTAGACGGAATACTAAAAGTGTCTTTTTCGTACCTTTTCTTATTATCACATCGTCTAGCGAAGTACAGTTAGCATTTATTAGAGTTAGAATCTCGGACTGCCATGGTTAGGAACTTGTTGTAGGGATAGAAAAGACCTATCAGGTCGCAGTGCCCCTGTTCAGTTACACCTAATTTCTTAACTAACTCAGTAGGGTTATTGATGCAGTAAATAAGATTGTTGATTTATTAAGCGTTACTTTAACTTTTTAGAGATAAAATTAAAATTTTGATTTTAGTTATATTTTAAGCGCCAAAGAGATTGGGTTCGAATTTTGTACAACGGAACTAAACCGAGGATTAACACAGACAAATGAAAATAAATGAATAAAATAAGGGCCACCGTAATCTAGATACATTAGGTTGCATCACTCTGGATTTGTTGTATTTTGGAAAAATATTAAGGTTGTCAGATTTGAAATAATATTATTTATTTCGATTCTGCTGATACAATTTTTCAACATTTTTATGCATACTTTTGAAATTTGAACTCTTCTACCAACTAAGGTGTTTCTTTTTGGAACAAATATTTTTAAAAACGCATTTTCGGAGGAATTTTCAAAGTGGTCCAGTCCACGTGAATCTAGCCATGAAGTCTTAAAAAATAATACATTTTATGATGCCGGTTAAAACCCTAAAACCTTTTTTTGGTGCGGCACCCTCCACAGATATGCACGTACATATGTACATATACGATGATTTCGTTAATGACAGTGTTAGGTTAAGATGAAAATAGCATGCTGGCATGTCAACAAATCACTGCATATTCAATCAAGTGTGTTTTTCTGCTCAAAGGTAAAATTAAGTACACACACACATAGGTAGGTACATATGTAGGTAGGTATACCGCTTGTGATTTTCGACGTGTTATTTGCTAACAGATTTGTAGTGGAAGTTTTCTATGTCTTGCAGGGCAATGGAGAACTTTGAATATAAATCGCATACAATGTTGATTAAAGCAAGGGCTTTAAATATTTTTAGTTTAATTTAAAAATTAAATTCGCTGTAAGATATGTATTTGTATGTATTTCTACAACAAAATATACATTAAAGCTTACTCAGAAATAGAAGGTTGATGAGATAAGCATAACGGCAGGGTGGGCTAAGGACGCATAGTTATTTGGTTCCACCATCGAAAACTTCAGGAATATTCTCGAAGTACATTTCCCTCGAGAAGCCAACATCGAAACGGATCACCACGTTGATGTAGCTAAGGTCCACAAGCACCTCAGTTCAGTGAAGAACTTGCAAAAGGATGCGCGTTGATAGTTCGATATAGAGAACGGACACCCACACAGGAATAGCTGGTAAAACGAAGAGTACCGTGTCGCTGATGCAGAGAAATACACATCACACAAAACTACCCTGCAGCCAATAGCTACGCGAGCGACACCTGAGTGATAGTGTGAGAAGTGGAGGGAGCAGAGACGTTCATTCCAATTACAACTTTGTAGTGGCGAAGGACTACCTAGCATCCAGCTTAAACCGCACCAATAATGCCTGCCTGAAGATCGATCAAGAATAATGGGTCGATTACGGATGGCAACACAACCACGCTTCGGTTGTCAGCTGGCAATGCAACTGCAAAGAAAATTTGTATTACGAATGGCAACTATCGTCAGTTGCTGTAGAGTTATCGATAATCGAAATTTGACAGTTCAACAACCAGCAAGCGGCTGCAAACAAGCTGTGCGAGTAAAATTAAATTATTAAAATAAAGAGTTTTAAAGAAAAGACAGAAATAAAGCTAAATTTATCACAATTATTTGTTTAGGAGGAAGAGAAATTCACGAACGCGTCCTCAATCAGGCGACACTTAAAGGATAATTCCAATCCTCTAGAGCTACCGCGTGTAATGTAAGCAAAAGTTAATGGTTTCTTTTGTTATAGTTTTGTGTTCATTTTCAAAGCATATTGAGGACTTCCAAAAGTAGCTGTAGTATAATTGGTTAATAAACAGATGAACCACTTCGTTCAACTTCAATATCTCCGCTCATAAAAGCTTGCGCACATCTTCGAATTTTCGCAGAAGGAAGTGCCACAGCAATGACTTTAATTTGGAAAACTGGGTGTCTCGGTAGTTTTAAAAGAGGTGCTTCAATTGATAAAGGAAAAAAATTGCAATCAGTGTTCGCTTTTGTTTCGCCAAAAGGGCGTTGTCCACGAGAACTAAAATTTCAAGATATTGGTTTGTTATTTTCACCATATTCTGTAAAAGCAAACTGCATTGCAAAATGTTAATATCGTTCAAATTATTAAATATATGACACACTTTTCAATTTTCGCTCCTAAATACGCTCCAAAAACATTCCCAGCAACCACTAAAATGTAGTCGCCTGTATACACATTATGTAGCAACTGCAGTTGTCAGTTGAAAGTTGCCAGTTGCCATCTGTAATATCGTTTTGGCAACTAGCAACGCAACTGAAGTTCGATTGCTATCGATAATCTAACCATAAATTTTGTCAAGCCAAAAGCTGCTATTTGGGGTTTAAAAATCAGGCCCTTCTCTCAACGAATGAAAACAAAAATGCTTCATGAATCTATTAACATGGCCGTTCTTTTATATGTGTGGTGCAGAAACTTTGGCGATGTTGAACAAAGATGAGAATTCTTTGGGAGCTTTCAAGAGAACTATTATCCGCAAGATCGATGGAACTGTTCGCCACTGGGCGACGGGTATCGTAGAAGATGAAATGGATGTAGAATCGTTCGAGCTGTATATAGAAGACAAATACATAGCTAAGTGCAGCAAAATACAACGCATGCGCTGACTAGGATACGGTACAGGTATAGGTGATGATGCTTCGGAGGAAAAAGCCTTCGACTCGCACACGAAAGCAAAGGCGCCAACGAACAGAATGGAAGGCAAAGAACATACTCTATTATGAGGCGCTGGTCCGATGGTCAGCCCTTACTAAAGATTACATAGTTAAAAACTAAGCACGATTCAATGGTTAGCAGCCGCTGGTGTAACGGGTAGAAAGAGATACTCTCCGAAGAAAATTCTGAACGTTCTGCGTGACTTATTAGCGATAGATATGTTCATCAAAACCTCCGCTGCTAACAGCGTCATGAATGGGACTTCGTGTCTTGGAGCTCTGGAAGGAAAATAATAAATGCATCCTAAACGCATTACCAACTCAAGTTTAAATGCTGCGCACTTAATATATCCTGGCGCAGACGTGGTTTCAACACAAACCCTGCACGAAATGGTCGAGCCGCAGTGACTGAACTAAAGGTAGAGTCCAGTTCTTTACGGGCGGTTCAAAGATAGTTCCTTCCGCCTACCAGACGATACAAGTGTTTTCCAGGCTGAAACGTTTGCCAGTAAGGAGACAATAAAGTCCTTCAAAGAGAACGCAACCGCGAGAACTCAGGAGAATATCTTTTCTGATAGCCAAAGCGGCTATGGAGGCACTCTCTTAGGTCTTTTAGATCTCAACTAACGGATGGCTGTAGTAGAGAGCTGACCGCGAATTCTGACCAAAACGAAATTGCCCTAATATGAATAAGAGAACATACATATGTATGTATGTACGTATATAATCTGTGTAAAAAGAGCCTCACTCGGCAATATTTGCGCCCGAGTATACAGAGCGCACTTATGATTGCCCTAAATCAATAATTAATTTAAAGAAATCAAGCTTCATTGAGAAAAGTAAACACGCTTTAATCAAAGAAACCTTAAAGGCGCAAAAACCCTAAACACGTCAAGGCAAGTTCAACGCCCCACCAACCGAGTGTAGCCCCAGTCAAAAGAAGAAAGGTTGATTGAAGCATTACTGCAAAATTGATCAAAAAGAAATTGTGTGCAATTTCAACAAAGTCAACACAATTAAGTATGAAGAACTGGTTTAAAATAAGAAAACAGAGAACAAAAATGAATTGAATTGAATTTGGCTGCCGTTGGCAGTATTGTAAGATCGACTGTGATGCCGTTATTTGAACGTTTGTTTAAGGCATGTAAGCCGGTGCGTTTGCTTCTCTAGGTACATGTGTGCATAAATGCGTAAAGATTCATATACATACATATGTATGTACTCTTGTATAGATATGTATTAATGTACGTACCTAGATTTTGTGCGACTCACAGCAAAAGGCATCTAACTGAATTGCCAGCGCAGGCAATAACTTTTCTTTTCTCTCGTATTTTTTTTTTCGTCTACTCCCTAAGCAAGCAGCAGGGAACAGATGAGGAAAGGCTGCTGCACTGAGCATAGAACGCACACAATTCAATTACTGCTGCTGCAGCATGCTGTGTTTTTCTTTGTTTTTGCTTGCACTTCTTTATGCGCTTCCACGTTTTCCTTGAATTTTCAATGCGCGTTTTTTTATGTGCACTTTACAACTTGAATAATAACAGAACTTTTCACACAGTAATGAAAGAATTCAGGAGCAAAACAAATAGTCAGAGAAGCTCAAGCATAATTCAACATTCGCGCTTGCACAGCTCTTGTTTTCGTAACTTTTTTTTAATTTTTGTTGCAAAAACTATAAAATTTCGTTAATAATGCTACGCTTGTTGTGCACTAACAGTAACCTTCTTGTGGGAGCACTAACAGTCGTTACCGGTTAATTACTTTCAACCTCTACTACCTTGTTACTTCAGTTTACACTGCACTTTCTGTTGTTCTATGCTTTATAAATATTTCAGTACTAAATTTCACACTTGCAAGTCGAGCGCACTTTTCCCCAGCAGCAGCCCATACGTTTCGCACACAAAATGAAACTGAGAGTAGCGTGCAGTGACGAGTGACATGCTACCTAAAACAGCTCGATGGCTGGCTGGTCGGCTAACTAAGCGGAGCAGTGTTGCCACGGATACACTTTTTTCCTTCCTACCAAAATTTCCTACCAGAACCGACCAAAATCTACAGAATTTTTTTAAGGTTTTCGTTTATTTTTTCAGTGTACAGTAAAACTAAAACATTGCTAGTTAGTAAAATAAAAATAAATTATATTTAGGGTACTCACAGTTCCGATTTAAAGTTAATATGTGGCAACTTTAGAAAGATACCACAGTTGAAGTGTGAGCGCCCCTTTATGAATTTCGAATTTTAAGTTTGGCACTGCTAATAATCGAA